CCTACCCAATAATATTTTTAGGCTCTCTTTTGGCCTTATAAATAGTTTATATATTGTTCAGATGATGTAAAACTTATTGTATTAACTTATAAATATTTTATATTATGTTCAGATGACGTAAAACTTATTGTTATGACTTATTTTGGCCCTATCAATATTTTATATTCTGTTAAGATGATCTAACTTTAATATGTGTCCCGTTTATGCATAAGTCCGTTGGATTTCCAAACTGGCTTGTAGATGTACTATTCCTGTTACTGAGATTCTTTTTATTTCTAAACCTGTAGTGGCTTCAAGCTCCGAGGTACGTAGCTTCCAAGCTTCAGGTTATGTAGCTTCTCCAAACAAGCTCCAAGTTTTCAAGTAATTTTAGACGAAGCTCCAAGCTCCAAGTAACGTAGCTTTTTCTAACTCCAAGCTCGAAGCTTCCAAGTAATTTTTGACGAAGCTCCGAAGTAGTTTCCACGTAGCTTCCAAGTTCCAAATTTCCACGTTGCTAAGTAGCTCGAAGTAATGTCGAAGTAGCCTTAATTAGTATCGGACAGACTTCATCTACCCAGGAGACGATTAAACAGGAAAGTACCGCTGTATAATGCCACATGGTCAAACCAAAGAAAACAATTTTTAATAATATTCCAGTTCATTCAGTCATCCAAGTCATTAATCAGTAATTCATTGTGTAACATTGCATTCTTTTCGTAACAGATAACTTGGGGTACCAGAGACTGACTCAATGAAACAGGGCATGTAAAATCAGATAGTTTTTCCATAGTTTTTACTCAAAAATTTGGTGGCGCTTAACATTCTTTTGTCGTTATAGTACCTATTATAGTATCTTTTATTTTATCGCCAAGTAGAATTGGCCCGCGAACCGGTCAAGTTGCTCTAATTTTATTTGTCCTGGTAAATTTATGAACCCACGCAGTACCAGCAATTTAAGCTAAATCACCTATTAAATATAATTTACATCGAAGAATTCAAATAGAAGGTAACCCACTTAATGGTCTAAATGGTTAATCATTTTAAAATATTCTTATTTAAGCACTTAGTGTATCGGTCTGGGTATCGACCTAAAATACCACGGGACATAAGGGCTACGTTCAACATTTTAATTTTTAGATTTATTATTTATAAAAAACATAAGACTTAACTGAAAGTTAAGCAATCTCAGAAGACCCATAAAAAGCAAAGATTGATAAAATAAACTTTTTCCAATTTGGAAGTTTCAGCAAATAACCTCTAAGTGTAAAGTCCTTTCATGTGTTTTTAAAATTTTCTTTTTTTATTTGTGATTTATATTTGATGATATAAATTCATGGTTTAATTTTTTTTTTTTTCAATTTGGGGAGTGTTAAAAGTTTTAACATTAAACGTTGATGTTTAGATATAGGTGCGGTTATGCACAAGATGATTTATATTGTTGATTTTATAATTTATAAAAAAAGGTAGAAATTATGATTTTTCTATATTCGCATATCTTGCGAAAACGTCCTTCGCTTTATACCAAGCAAACGACCGGCCGTGCCACCTGTTGAGTAATTTATTATTATTATTATTTTTGGGTTCACGCATATTACATAATATAACATACATTTTAATTTATTACCGTATTTAGTTATGTTAGTTTATTTAATTGTGAATTTATCAAAAGCCGTAAGGTAAATTATTTAAAAGTTGTTGAACAAATTAAATATTGAATTATTTAAGTTAATTCTTGAACTCTAACCTTTGAGTTTGTTGTTTTTCTTTTGATAAACTTTATATTCGTTAGTTTCTTGAATATTAATTTTTAAAATTGTTAATAATAATTGGGAAAATTGGTTAATTTATTATAAAGGAGCATAAGTTAAGATTTGTCTTTTCTTTCCTCATTTACTGGGTTTGTGGGAAAATAGGAACTTAATTTGGCCACTATATGGAGACCCAGTTGGCGCCCTAAATTTGTCTACTATTTCCAGAATTTTTATAGCTTTCCACCTCCTAAGCTGGTGTCTGAGCGACTGCGAAGGCCCGAAGGTTGACATCGGAACAACCGAAACATGTGTAACCGTAGTAGACCAAATTTTATTTTTATTTTTAAAATTTAAGCCATTCTTCTCTGGAAGTTGTCTAGGACTTTTGGTAGGTTACAACAGGTTAGGTAAATTAGTTAGGTTTTTAGTTTTTCTCATTTTATGTATATTTGGTTATTCGATCAATTTCGTTTTCTATCAAATCTATTTTCGATCATATATCTTTTCGATCAGTTTCCTCTTCGATTAATCGTTATTTTTTATATTGTTCTTTTGATCAAATGTTTTCGACCCATTTTGTGTCGCACCTATAAAATATGAGTAAGTATAATTTTGTCATTGATTTTATGTAAGTACCTATAGAAGGTAAGTATGAGCGATATAATTTATGTCTTGCTGGTAGGTTGAGAGCGATATTATTTATATCCCGCTGATGGGATAAGAGCAATGGGGGGTAATTCGCTTTTTCGATTGGCCATAATAGATATAAAAAAACTTACAGCCTAATTCAGACTAAAGATTTGCCTTTAAAGTAGCAAATGATGCAGAATCTAAGAACAAAGTAGATAATTGTGTCAGGAACGATATTAAAGCAAAATCCGATATTAAGTACTCTCTCAATCAGTCCTTTAGAATTGAAGCATGTTATACATATAAAAGAGGAACTCACCCCTCTAAAGGGATAATTTGAACCGAATTCTGCGGCTCCGTTGTCCGAAAAAAAGAGAATCACGGAGTTTTGCAGCATTCCCTTTTCTCGTAGAGCCGCTATCACCGTTCCAACGCTTTGATCCAACAAGGAAACCATGGCTGCAAAAAATATTTTATTTATTAAAAGATTCTATGAAACAGTTTGAAAAATCTTAAAATTATGAATGTATATAAACTACAATAAATACAGGGTGTCTGTAAAAGGTGTTTACCAAAAAAAAACATACCACATATTCCTTAGACCAAAATAAGTCGATTTAAGTAAAATTACCTTAGTACAAAGTTGCTTCGTTTGGGCTCTAGAGGGCCTTGAAGTTACAATTTTTAAATCGTTTTTTCCCATATAAATTTAAAACGGCATATGAGATTTTGCTGAAATTTGGTATATTGGTAGAGTTTTATGTGGCAAAAAAAGTGGTATTAAAATTTTGTCCGATAATAATACATAGGCGTAGAACTTGATTTTTTAAATAATTGCACCTTTAAAAATTATACGCCAATGGAATAAAAGGAGTTTGAGTATGAAATTCAGATTGCGCAACTCATTTACTTTAAAAAAGGTACTCTTGATAAGACTCGATTACTCTCATGGTTTTCGCTAAATTTATGTTTTAATAATTTAGAGTGTATAGGTTTCACAAAAATATTTATTTACAACATAATCAAAATAGAGATTTTACAAAAATTGTTCAAAATGTTCACCATTTTCACGCATACAAAGATTTATACGTCAAAGAAAATTAAAATGTATCCTTTCCATAACTTCTTCATCACCTCTAAGATTGTTTATTGCATCTTGAATACGTTGCCAGAGTTGTTCCTCATTTTCTACAGGTTCCCTGTAAACTGTGGATTTCAGATGTCCCCATGAAAAGTAATCCATCGGTGTTAGGTCTGGGGAACGTAGTGGCCAGTTTACAGGTGCGTCATTACCTCTGCCCATCCATTTGTATGGATATTGTTCATTTAAGTGGTTTCTAACGTTTAAAGAAAAATGTGGTGGAGCTCCATCTTGCATAAACCATATATCTCTCCGAAGTTGGAGAGGTAATTCTTCTAACAATTCTGGCAACGTATTTTGTAGAAAATCCAAATAATTTTCTCCAGTTAATCTTCGTGGAAGTATGATAGGACCAACAATGAAATTACCAATTATTCCAGCCCACACATTAATTTTGAATTCGTGCTGAAAATGGTTTACCTTTATTGCATGCGGATTTTCAACGGCATAAACATGTTCATTATGGGTATTAGTTATACCTCTTCTTGTAAAACCCGCTTCATCGGTAAAGAGAACCTTCTTGACAAAGTTTGGATCTCTTTCTCTTTTCATATTAACAAATCGACAAAAACCCAAACGAATTTGAGGATCATGGACTAATAATTCTTGTACTGGCTTCTTATGGTATGGATATAGCAATTGTTCTCTAAGCACTTTATGAACGACATCTTTACTTACTCCTAGTTCCCTTCCAATTCGTCTGGTGCTTAATTCTGGATCTTTTTCAACACGTTCTAAAATGTCTTCTTCGACTTCAGGAATCCTTACAAAACGTTCTCTTCAATTATCAACAGTGTTGGGAGCAAAGGAACCGGTCTCCCGAAGACGTCTCTTAACAGCAGAAAAAGTTGGGTGGCTAGGTACACGACGATTTGGAAACCTTTCAGAGTACACCCTGACACTCTCTCGAGCATTTCCTTTATAAAATCCTAATGTCAGTGACATATCGGTATATTCTGCATTGGTATATTGTTCCCCCCATATTAATAAACCACGCATTTGTTTTTTTAAATATTGAGTCAGATAGAACACTTTCAATCGTTAATAAGAGATTAGGTGTTTAAACTTGACAATATTTTTATTTAGATGAAACTATGGAAACCAACAATAAATGTTTTCGTATACGTATTGCAGGCAAATAATTAGTATTCCTCAAAAAATCGTACATGGCAAGAATCTAGTATTTTTGTTAAAAGTCTCGATTAGAGGTGTTGAAGAAGATATGAAAAAAGTACATTTTTATGTTTTTCATCGTATAAAATTTTGTCCGATAATAATACATAGGCGTAGAACTTGATTTTTTAAGTAATTGCACCTTTAAAAATTCTACGCCAATGGCAAAAAAGGGGTTTGAGTATGAAATTTGGATTGGGTACTCATTTACTACAAAAAAGTACCCTTGATAACACTCGATTTACTCTCATGGTTTTGACAAAGTTTGTATTTTAATAATTATTGTTTATGTTCTAAAATTATTAAAATGCAAATTTCGTCAAAACCATGAGAGTAATCGAGTATTATCAAGAGTACCTTTTTTAAAGTAAATGAGTTGCGCAATCTAAATTTCATACTCAAACTCCTTTTCTTCCATTGGCGTAGAATTTTTAAAGGTGCAATTATTTAAAAAAATCAAGTTCTACGCGTATGTATTATTATCGGACAAAATTTTAATACTATTTTTTTTGCCACATAAAACTCTACCAATATACCAAATTTCAGCAAAATCGCATATGCCGTTTTAAATTTATATGGGAAAAACGATTTAAAAATTGTAACTTCAAGACCCTCTGGAACCCAAACGAAGCAACTTTGTACTAAGGTAATTTTACTTAAATCGACTTATTTTGGTCTAAGGAACATGTGGTATGTTTTTGTAAAGACCTTTTACAGACAACCCTGTATAAGGACCAAGTCTAGAGGGAATTAAAACTAGTGACTTCAATTCCAATAGCAAGGTCAATGTATTGTATAGTTTGGGTTATTTTTATTTTCAGCTGTTTTACTATTATATAGTAGCAAGTATAGCGCCGGATTTTAATATGATGACTTGTTGATATATGATTTATTAGAAAATTTTGTTTATATAAAATATTTTATATTTTAAAAGGGAATGAACAAAATTTTATAAAATATTTTGAGTTTAATAATTCTTAGATAATAAAATACATTTGAAAACAGGATAAATAAATAAAAAAAAATATCAAAAATTATTATCATCTTTATTTGACGTGTCTTCCAGATTTATGATGCAAAAATGACCAGAATTAATATTTTTGACATTGCGAATACAATTGGTCCATTTTATATAGAGATATCCCTGCAATAACTTCTCTAATGACATATAACATACTTTCTTAATTCCCTATTGATATTACTCCAAATCAATTTAATAAGATTGAATGTATGGTAGAAAACGTAGACCGAATCTTTTAGCCATCTCATCAACAACATTGGTTTAAGATTGAAATCTTTTAATATTGTGACAGGCTTCTGGTTCACCTACAGTGAATCAGCGAGTCTGTGTGGCGCTATGATGGTGATTCCCGAATAGGGGTTGCTCGGGCGCCAATTTTGTTATCGCAGTTTGCTCTACGACCCTGTGGTACACCAGAGTGTACTCAAGGTAAACTCAGTGGAGGTAAAAATAATTCCAGATGGTCACTGCTAGGTAGCCACTAGAATAAATAAAAATAAAACATTTATCTCCTTTACACCTCGTACCCTACGGTACCCTGAAAGAGAACGGTCAAGAACCAGCAATAAGAGAAACACAGGAATAGGTAATAAAATATATATTTACAAAAAAAAATACAGCGGTGGTAGTGCACGGTTCTGGCACAGCGGTAAACGGAAAATTAAGTAAAATGAACAATTACAATTAAACGAGATTACAAGAAAGTAATTACGGATCCCTGTATTCACAAAAAAAATAATTAAAAGTAAATTATTACAATTGAAGCTAGTTAAATAATAATGGCTCCCGGTATTTGGAAGATTTACTAAAAATAAATTATTACACTTGAAAACTAATCAAATATTAACAGGCTCCCTATATTCGGAAAAATTTATTAAAAATAAATTATTACCAATGGAAACTAATTAAATATTAACGGCTCTCTACATGCGGAAAATTTATTAAAATTATTACCAATGAAAACTAATTAAATATTAACGGTTTAAAGTCTCTCTCATGTAGACATCTGGTAGTCCATAGCTTCTACAAGAGAGAAACCTTTTTCACGAGTTGTTATAAAGACTAGGGGCTCTGATTATCGACGGGGGGAAGCAAGCGAATACCGCTATCGCCCCCCTGGTTAACGCGAAAACGGATGAAGGGTGCGAGTGCCCCGGATTTAAATCCAATTTACCTTAGTACCCTGACTAAGAAAATTAAAAGTTCTTATTACCTTTTACTAATACGGGAAAATATTTACGGCTCACTAGCACAGGAGGCTAAGCGGTCCGGGAATTATGAAACTCCCTGTATACCGGAAAATTTATTAAAAATAAATTAATACAATTGAAAACTATTTAAATATGACGGTAATCAATTGTAAGCAAATAAACGAAATCAAATTTTTCAGAATGTCCCTGTATCTTAGTTCGGACCGATCGGGCGCTCTGGCAATTACATGGCACGAGAAAGATAATTTTCAGCGAGGTGTTTGAAACAAGAATGCGATGGTTAACGTAAAAAATTATTTTGAGATCTGCCAAAAAGTCGATCAAGGACGGTGTGTAAATTAGTTTTATAGAAAACGACAGGCTTCGTTCAATAATTAATTGTTGACATGAAACGGAATGATTTAAATATAATTAAATGAATAAATAAAAGAAAAGAGAAACTTACATGAAAAATACTGTGCGCTTCTTATAAAAATTTGCCAACGGTTTCCTACTAAGGGATGAAATGAAAAATGCTGGGCATGAATCAAAATTCTTTCACTTTTCGGACGGGTGTCCCAAATTAATTGTAAAATAAAAAAAATAATATAGCGGTTTCCTACCTTAGAAAAATAAACGGGGTTGTTCAGCAGTCTAACAATATCGTGGTCACTCACTAGTCATGTGGAGAAGAGAGAAGAGCTTACGCTTGCCGGATATCAAGAGACCGTAATTCCCAGATGTGATCGAATTTATGCTTTTCGGTAAAACCCGAGTGGGGGATACCACTACTACAGCCGACTGTTTACAATTTAAAAATAAAAAAAATGTCCTTCTAGTACCTTGACAAATAAAGGTATATAATTGGTACCAAATCGACTCTACAAAATGCCCATTCGGATTTCGGCAAATATAGGAATATTTTAACCTACAA